GTCTCGACCGAGAATCACTGGAACATTGAGCCCTGGAAGATGAACAAGACGGCAGCGTCTCATTCGATCTCCCCATCGGACAGTCAACCTGGCAGCGCCTGCCGAATGGGCCACATCTTTCGCAAGGGTGAATGTCGTTCGGCTGTCCCGCAAGCGCACTGAGTGCTTCTGCAAGTGGGACAACACCTGTTCGCCGAACAACGAGGCGCTAGCGCCCGTGTCCAGCAAAGCCGAAAATTCACGGCCAGCAATGGTGACCGGAATGAACGGCGCGTGCGTATTAGCAAGAAAAGTGCTTGCCCTGCACACAGAGGGAAGAAGCAAAGGTTGGGTCGCTCGTGCATTCATGAACGACCCGGAAGCCTATTTCCCTGCCTCGCAGGAGGCCTGGATCCGGTGCATTCTCTTGCTATGTGCCCTCGTTCACGGCAGCGGTAACAGCGCACTCCATCACGGTCTGTATTCCCAGACGGAGCAGCCTCGAGCTGTCGTGATCGGCTCGCTACGTTATCGCAGGATACGTTTCTGCGAGCCACACCTCCCACATTACGTTGGGTCGGAAAGCGTACCTGTGTGGAGGTTTCAGGTGAAGCAGCGCAGGCTGCCCGCCTTGCATGCGTAAAGGGGTCAAGAGCGCGATCGCTCAACTCCCACGCACAGCCGGTTGCAGTCGCAAAGGCAGCGCCGAGAGGCTGTTACCGTTGGGGAAGGGTCATGGCTCCTCTCCAAGAGCAGCCCGGCTCAAGGGCATCGCTGGCTGGCGGCGGCGGGCGATAGGCACGCGTGGCGAGAATGCCGCCTTGGATGCGCTTTGCCTCGGCGGCCAATTCCTTCAAGTCACGAAAGTGGCTGCCGCGCAAGTATGCCGAAAAAGTCGGATGTGCCTGCCGTATCACCCGTTCGATGCGCTCCTCGCTTGAGGCTCGGGGCTCAGCGATAGAAATAAGTTCATCCATCGCACGTACATACTCCTGTAAAGACTCGTCAGGAGCTTGTGTACGGAGCTCGAGCTCTCGCCGCATCCTACTTTCGTAGTCAGCGGGTAGGAATTCGCGCAAAAAGACTGCACGAAGCTCCTTGAGGTTTGCTGCACGGTAACCGGTAAGCCGATACCATCTCGCCGCCGTGTCAGTCAGTGCAGCTGGAACAACACGTTCGAGCACCACCTTATCATCCAAAACCATCGCTCTCTGATAAGGTGACAGAGAGTCGAGGTAATCTCGGGCGGTGAGCTGATCACCGTATTCGCTGTAGGTTGGCAAAGGCAACATAACAGCGGGGTGACCGCTTTTCGGACCAGCCGAAAGCGTTTGCACAGCTCTCAAGAGTGCTTGGATCATCTGCACGGCATTTTGCAGCAATGTCTGCGTCATCGCACCGGCTTCGTAGGAAGCCGTTGGGGCGTTAGCGGCGCGGTCGAGCGAAGGTGAGCAGTCGCCCAGCTCGATCAGTGGGGTGGTTTCAAACAGACCACCGCCCTGCGCGCCGTTCCCAGAGCAAAATAGGCTCCTTGTGGGATTGGCCTGTTGTCGAACCAAAGGCGCACTTGGTGTGGCTATCATCGACAATTCAGGCGCCTGCTCAGCGTGCGTTCGAAGTGTCGGTTGCACGGCTGATGGCGGGCAAAAGTCGGCTAGGGCCAAGGCCTGTGCCCCGTCAATTCCACAGGGAACCGACTGCGAGCACTGTGCCGACAAACTACCATGCATGCCGAAGGGCGCATTAGCAGTCAGAGGCGCTTGTGCATACCGTTCGGGTAGGGCAAGAGGCCCATTCCGAAACGACGCGCCATCTCCAAACGGAGCGGCTAGGCGCCTCGTGTCGTCACCGCAGTAGGGGGTGCCGACACGGACGGGTGCCGAAGGGTTCCTGTCAATAGAGGCAATGCCTCCTTGTGCAATGCGGCATCTGCTAACAGGGACAGCGGACAGAAGTCCCGCGAAGCAGCCATCTTGCAACGAGCCCGATTCGCGCAGGCGAACTGACTCGCTAAGAGCAGTCAAAAGCTAGAGCTTTTGATACCGCGTTGGGCGCCAGTATGGTGTACACGTATCCGGAAGGAGTACGGCAACCAGCGTGGGTCCGGCCTTGGCGAGCCGCAGGGCACGCGTTAACCGTCGTCGTGGCGGGAACACGATACTGCTCAAAGTCGTAACACATTATTGTGACAACACCAAACGCAGTACAGACCGTGCAAAGGCGCGGCGGGAAAGCAAATAGTCTTATCCACGCCACGGGCATAAAAGTACTACACAGGGTGCCACGAGCACGTCTCCGCGGTAAAGGTGATCCACGTAGACACCGGGACCAAGGCCCGGTTGCTCGAGCGAGGGCAAAGGCGTTCGCGTTGGCTTCGGAGGGAGACATGTCGGCGTAGCTAGGCCACGCACTAGGACACCGTACCACCCTTCGGCCGTGCGTACGCTGTGGGGCAACGAAAGATGAGCGTTCGCCTCGGGCGCGAGGCGCCGTCCGCCAAGTCCGACGAGCCCCGAGCTCCGGGGGTTCGACGGACAGAAAAGATTGCGTGGCTCACCGTCTGCAGCCCCGGTGAGTATATCTCTCTGCCCGCTCCCGACGCAGCTCGCAAAAACCTCTCGGGAGACTCCGCGCACGGCGCCACAGTCAACATCGGCTATTGGGTGAGGGGGTTAAACGTTACTTCGCTCTCCAAGCGGCAGACAGCAAAGGAGGGCAGACATGTCGGCACATGAGAACGGCAGAAAAGGCGGCAAAGCCCGCGCAAAGGCAGCGGGCTAGCCTCAATTCCCTCAAGCCAGAGAGGAGCCTGTGTGTGAAGGGGCAGGCTTTCTAGTGTGGTCGAAAAAGTAAGGAGAATGTCACCGTGCTTTTTTGTGTAAATGCCGACGGCTCCGAAAAAATGCAGCTTACTGTCATAGGCAAATCAAAACAGCCAAGATGCTTCTGATCGGCAGGACGTTTGCCTTGCTTGTACAAAGAAAACAAAAAAGCATGGATGACATCAGATTTTTTGCTTAAGTTTCTGACAACTTTGGACTGGAAAATGGCAGCAATAAACTGAAAAATTTTGCTTTTCGTTGACCGTTGTTCAGCCCATCCAAAAGACTTGAAATTTAACAGTGTCGCCATTAGGTTCCTGCCCGCAAACACGACAAGTCGTCTACAGCCGCTGGACATGGGAATAATTCAAAATGTCAAACATCATTTTAAAAGATTGCTCGTGCGGAGGCTTCTGGCAAAAATTGAGCGCTTAGATGAAAAACTTACATGAATATTAGTCTGCTGGACGCGCTACATTTCCTTGCGATGTACTGGAATAATGTGATGCAGAACACGATCGCGAACTGTTTTCGCAAGTGTGGATTTTTTTCGTGACAAGATTACGCTCTGAGAGAAAATAATGAAGAGCCTGACGCTGATTTGCACATCGAGTGTTGGAAAAACCTCGAAACTAAAGCTATGGCGCGAGACTTCATCACCGCGGATGAGAACGTCGCGACCTGTGGGCTGCGATCTATTGAAGAACTGGTTGACGAGGTTAAGGAGATGGAGTCCGACAGTGACTGTGAAGACGCCGATGTGTATGACCTGCCGTCGACGTCAAAAAACCACCATGCCCTCGATGTCCTGGGCCGCACCGTAAGCGCCAGAAATGAGAGTGAAGAAACCGTGGCACGGTTTTATGCCTTTGATGTGGCGTACTTAAAGGACGGCAAAAGCAGAAAAGTGCAAAAGAACATGATCTTTTTCAGCAAGAAGTAGTTGATCGCAATAAAGTTATCATTCATCTTCATGATCACTTGTATTATGTTTTGGTTCATACGAATTTGGGATGATACAATTATTTTGCGTGTCCCCTTCGAATTTGTATCGAGATTCTACAGTAGTACGCCGTTACAATGGTACTTTATGCGCGGTGCGTGCACAAAGTACAATTTTACAATTGTGCACAGTGCATGCATCCATGCGCGAGTCCTAATTTATTCTATTCTTGGTATGCGGCCTGCAAAAGAGTACGGGAAAGATTTGGTGGTGTATATACAGGTATAAACTGCACGCAAATCGCTGCTGTAAATTGGAACAGCTGGCGTAGTGCTTGAATAAACGCAATAAGTATACTTACTAATATACTTTTACTGGGCTCGTAGTTTTTCCTGCCGATTGCGATTATGTCCACTGGCGGCGGAGCTCGGCATTTTCCGTTGCGGATGGGAATCTGTGCAATTGTAAAACACTGAATAACTTGCCCTTGTGCTGGTTGTTTTTGCATCCGAAGACGGTGCAGTGGTGCCCAGACGACTTCCTGTAAGCACGGTAGTTGGCGTCGCGCTTGAGTACACTCATTAAGTGTACTTGTGCATATTTACTAGGCTCATAGTCTTCTCTGTTCACTGCATTTATTCATTGGTGACGGAGCTTGGTGCTTTTTGTTGCGAATGGAAATCGGTGAAACGTGAAAGCACCACACCGGCACGATTCCCGCGATGTGCTGTGAACTTTACAGGCAATGCTCAGCAACTTCTTCCTCTTGTGCTAGTTTTTGTCACATCCGAACATGGCACAGTGGTACCTAGATACCTTTTTATAGGCGGGCACAGCGTGAGCGGGCACTTTTTTCACATTTTAAAGTCCCAGAGCCACTGCTTGCCATGCTAGGGAGGCACGCCTTGGGAGTTCGAAACAAATTATGGTGTCTCTGAGAGCGATAGTATACAGCTGAAGGCGCCTCAGTGTGCGCCTCAGTGTGAGATAGGCGTATTTCCGTCTATAGTGACGAGTTTTTTTTGTCGGGTTTCCTGTGCCCTTCAACTCCACTATTGATTCTTGCTTCAGCTCAAGTATAGTGATGCCTGGGCTGAATAAGCATCGGAAATGCACAGTGGCAATGAAGGGAGGAGGGGTGGGGGGGGGCACTGATATATGTGTCTGTATGACTTATAGCAGACAACGCTATTCGAATAAACATGTTCAGCTATCTGTTTTGTGCAACGAGGTATTTTCTTCTTTTTTTTTTGTAGGCGCAAGAAGTCTCTCGAGAGTCGCAGCTTTTTCGCATCGGGCTGCCGAGAGCCTTTCCTTCCCATTGAAGATGGAGGGCCTTGTCTTAAGGACCTTATTGAACATTCCATCACTTCTGGTAGTGGGTCTGGCTTGCCTCAGCTGGTGAGTACAGGTTTAAAAAGTGAATGTGCCTGAGATGCTAAAATGCTTCTCTATAGTGCCTGTGCTTTGCACATTTTTTATTTGCTAGATAATGAGATGATTAGAAAGCTTATGTTAATAAATATAAAACAGATACAGGTATATTTATGGGAAATAGTTAGAGAACCTAATACAGTTTAGCATAATTGCTGATGACTGCAATAACTATATTTAAGGCAAACCATTCTACATGCAGTGGTGCCCAGAACGGTGTCGTGAACTGGCTGAAGGCAGGAGACTGAATGGTCAGATAATAAACTGTTTATTCGGGCCTAACTTGTGGCCACGTAAAAGGAAAGTCGGATTACAGCAAGGCACTGATAGCGGCGAACGGTTCGTCGGCTGTCGATCATATGACAAGCGGCGAAGCGCGTCGGCATTTATACACTTGCCATCAAATGTTCTAGCGTTATCGCTTGCGGTGATGTATGTTCTAGAATAATCTGTACAGTTCGTGGAGTGGGCGTGATCTTATCGAAATTATCTACTACAGTCCTGAAGCTTCTCAAAAACTGCAGGCGCGGTTTGCGCTAAGAATTGCATAGTGTATTTGGGTGATAACAAAATTTGAGGAAAGGAATGTGGCAATATCGAGAAAACCTAAAAATATAGTCCTTATAACCGGTGATCGTTATATATGAACTGCCGTAAAAAAAAAAAATCATCGCCAGACATACAGCTGCCCATTTTTTAAAACCTGAATGTGCGAGCATCGACCACCCAGTTGATAAGTGGCGTTTAATGGAGTGCAGCAGCAAAATGGACAAGAATACGTGCATGCCTGTGATGAATAGTCCTGTGCAGCTGTCTTCTGCGAGGCTGTTCCAGAAATCGAACGCCAGGACGCACGAAACAGGCACCTACATACTCGGCGATAGATGCTCACGCGTTCAGGTTAAAAAAAAAATGGGCAGCTCTACCTTTTGTAGCTCCGGGCTTGAACTCGCACTAGTGAATAAATATGGTAGGCTGTCGAAAACAAAACTTTATTTCTTGCCCCAAAGAGTGCATTATGTGTTCAGCACGCCGAAGTAGTCAGAAATCTGCAGTTGCTTCCCTGGAAGCTTGAATTTCACAACAGCGGTGCGCATAATTTCCAGCTGCTGGGAAAACTCTGGCAACATTTTTGTGGAGTGCATGTAATCAGTCAGTGAGTCGATAGGCAATGGTGCACTTTGTGTGATTATCGACGGTGTCATGGGGCATGCACGCTTTGCATAGCTGCTCTCGCATCGCAAGTCTTGCGGCTGATCGGTCAGCATAGAAGAGCCTGAGAAAGCAATTTGCGCTTAAATAAACTAGTACGCAACAAAAACCAATGGGGAATACCAGTCTTCAGATTTCACACTCTGGTTTTGTTTATTGAAAATAGCAGCGCGGAATATCTTAAGTCTCACGCTCACATTTTCAATCATTCTTGCACTTGAATGCTAAGTGCACAAACCAGTACCGCGAATTCAAACTGGTCGGCACATAACGTCAAGCGAAAAATGTAACCATGTTGTTGACACACAAAAAAAACCCTGTGGAAGTGGTAATGACATCTGCCGACGTATTGCACAAACAGCACTGGCACAAATAACTGCGACATGTATACGGCGTTAGAGCAGGCATCGAATTAAGCAAACCTCGACGCATACTCACAGGGAGAGATTTGCAACTTACTTCACAAAGTCGAGTCTAAAATGTCGGCCTGAGGTTCTCACTTCCGATTCTATGCAACCACGTCTTTTGTCACAACTCTTTTTGCTTAACGGGCGGTATCATGAAGAACTTTTGGCCGTCACTAGACTTGTTCTGGCATCAGAAGGCTTAACAGCCATCGATGGCAACCAACAGCCACATCATTCTTGTGTGAGCAGTATTTCACCGCACAATGCGAATGGAAGGACAAGTGTGTATCCGTAAAACAGATGCCTTACACACCACTGAGTCTGCACCGGCAGGTTCGAGCAACTGTATACAAATGAACTCTGCGAGCTGCCGAGGCCTCACCCTGATGCCAACGCTTTGCTTTTCGCCTGTTTTCTCTTTCTCACTCTGATACGGCAAGCTATGACTCTTATGAGTAACTTCCCATCGGTAGAAGGCAGAAAGCCATGGAGTGTGCCGCTTTGCTTTACATATTTTTTTCTATCACTCAGTCTATGCACGGCGAGTCGCAAAATGCGATGCTGCTGGTGCCATCTAGTAGTGCGCCGCTCCAACTCAATGCTCTCCTCTGCTTTTTGAACGGCTGGGATGTGCTGCAAAGGCGGTAGATACGAATGGTAACTTATCATCTTGTCTTGGTATAGTTCGTTTCATAGAAACTTATCAATGTAAATGTTAAGATTGTTCTGTGTGGAACATGCTGTTTTGATTGTTGTAACCTATATGCAGGGGATAGCGTATCACTATACAGTCTAGCCTGCTTATAACGAACCTGGGCATGATGCTGCATACGTTCACTGTATCCTGAAGTTTGTAGTAAATGAAACACAGCTTTAACAAAAGTTGCTAGTGAAAACACATTTTTTTTTCTCAGAAAAAGTTCATGATGCATGTGTTTCGAATAGCAGAAGTGATAAGGATAGTCTCAAGTTTATTTAAAGTGCCAGCGTTTTCTTCACCGAGAGGCTCGTGTCATAAGCTGCCTGAGGCTATTAATGCAGACACATTTTCTACAAGCGTGCTTGTGAGAGCTGGCTCTAAAGTTTCACCGTTCCCTCCTTCTTAATCCTCCAAATCGCTCTTGCCGTGCACTTAATTCACAATGCCTTATTTGTGCACGGTTCTGTAGTGTCGGCATCATCATCGGTCATAATGAAATCATCGCAACAGATGTCCCACACGCTCTCCCATGTTGGAGTAGACGACGCGCTGCTACTAATCGTCGCCGGAGTGGTCCTGTTTGTATACTTCAGGCTTGGCGTCAAGTCCAACGTTGTCAAAGTAAGCCTCGCGAAAGCAGTTTCGCACACATGTAGCCATGCCATTGTCAGATGGAAAGGAGACGTGGCGCCCGGAGGCTCCGTGTCCTCGAGTCATACGTAACTCATCAACTGATCATTATTTGTACATCTGTTGCGGCACTACCTCCCTTGCAGGGTTTGGTGGGAGGAAAGATTTGTTTTGCCACCGCCGCCCACGAAGCCTTCACCATTTCCACAGCTGAATACAGGGACATCTGAAGCGGCAAGTTAGCTGTCGGGCGGTTGACAGCTATGAGCAAACACTCCACAATGGGGCACTTTTTAAAAGGACACTAAAGGCAACTATTAAGTCAACGTTGATTGTTGAAATAGCGGTCCAGAAACCTCTTAGGGCTACTTTTGTGCCAAGGAAGTGGTTATTTCGAAATAAAGTCACGTTTTAGTGGTCTACATCAGGTTAGCGCACTTCAAATTACCCGCCTCAAGCGGAAGGTGTGCGTCACTGTTGCCGTGCACAACATTGCCGGACTTGCTGCACGGCCGCCGACAATAGTAGCAGCAGAACGAATGCAGCCGAGCCACAGCAGCAACAGCAGCCATTGAAGAATTTCCTACCATTGGCTCCAAAATGGCAGGCATGTTTTGTTTCAACTGGACCCCGCTAGATGGTACGACCTGTCCAGTTTAACAAGGTGAAAATTGATCTTGTGAACCTGTCGCGCCATTCTCTACAGTAACATCCGGCGTTTCTTTTTTCTATGATTAAAACAAATGAACCAGCAGCATTTTATTGCATCTCTTGATACACGGAAGGTTCTTTATTAGTCCAGCTAGTTTGATTACTTGTGATCAATTGTAGGCGGTACGTCTGACGTAATTGAGATCATTTTGCTAATGTCCTATCGTAGCGCATGTGTTCTCATGCATTTACCTTAACTTCTTGGTAAATGGGGCACTGCTGTTGATAATAGTCATTTTAGATGTTGTCATACATTGAGCTTTCACTCTGACAAAAATTTTTATTTGACTATAGTGTCCCTTTAAAACGCGAGGATAATACCCAAGCTAAGTCACCACTCTTAAACACAGAATGAATCACAAATTATCAAAGTCGGAGGAGTAGTGCAAGTGCGCGCATCGGAATGATACAACACAGATGCAGACAATCGGGTATAGTTGATGGCCGACGATGTTGGCAAATGGTCTGGCCACTCCAGGCAAGCGACGCCAATGAAATTTTAACAAAATTAGCAATCAAAAACTTAGGAGAGGCTAGTTGGTTTACCGGTCTTGGAAAGATCGGTGGCAGTGTGAAAACATGGGCCTCATCTCGCGATTTGAGGTGCTCAGAGCAGCGGGGAGATAAAGGATGTAGGGGGTGCATAACAAAAAAAGGTCGGGGAGAGCAACAAATAAAGAGGTGCGGAGGCAAGGTTGGCGTTCAACAATAAGAATCTATGGGCTCCTCGCCGATGGCTTATCGGTGATGGAAAGTGGTTTGCCGGAAAGTCGCCGGAGTGCTGACTCCGTTCGCTGTAACTAATTGGTGATGCTCAGAGACGTTCGCTGTAAGTGCGAATTTGTGTCATTTAAGTACCGTATTTACTCGTGTAATGAACGCACTCACTTAATAAACGCACTCCCAACTCAGTCGTCAGAATTATGACTTTTTTTTTCTCTTTTCTCCGCGTAATAAACGCACCCCCTACATTCACCCACTGCAGTCCCGCTAACCCACATCTGGCGCCTTCTTGCCTGTTGGATCTCTTCTTTTCTTTATTATTATGCAAGCCCACCTAGGCTTGCTTACTCCTCCCCCCCCCTCGCCCGCTGCCGCGCGCCGTGTAGCTTTTCTTTCTATCTGTGTGCGCACGTACCCAGTCTTTTTTCAATATCTATGCGCCACAGCAGGGTTCACGAACGATGTGAGTATAGAGACATCGCAGCTGACAAGCACACAGCGCCTGAAGGTCACGAAATTTCCCGCGCCAACCGACGGTTGCTTCTTGCAAATACGAAACTTCAAGGCCCAACTACATACACGCAATTTTCGAGTGACAACAACAGGATTTGCTGTCGCTATGGCTGTCATGAAGGGCCGTTTATCGCCATCACGTTGCAGGTTTCTAGAAATTCAGAAAGAAATCGCTTGTTGCCCAGAAAAGACCGTGAGTATTTTTGCAACATGGTCCATGATTCTCGCTTTGGTTGCAAACGAGGCGGCTGCTGTATTCTGTCGTTAATCTTATTATCGACGATTTGTTTTGATGCTTTGGTGGTAGCTTGCTGCGATGTTGGTTGCTTGCTACAATGTCAACGGCGTCGTCATGGTCATCGTGCGAGGTTGCCACGATGTTGGCAAAGTGCATCGTGGCATCGTACCGCATGCTTCTAGGTGCCCCTCAAGATCACAGCAGATACCCCTGTTGCAGTTAAATTATTGGGAGAAAAAATAGCCGCGAAACGCTTCTATTGCGTGCATGGGCGGCGCGGGAACAGCCTGCAGAAGATAGCGCCTTCAACCACCGAAGATGAGGGAAGTGCAACAAAGAAGCTGAGCAACCTATTTTTTTTTTGCATTACCGCATTTTTTTATTTATACCGAAAAAGTTTTCATAAAGTTTGCCCCACATAATAAGCGCACCCCCAACTTTGCCCCAATTTTTCGAGAAAAAAGTGTGTTTATTACGCGAGTATCTATGGTAAAGTATATTTTCACTGTCAAGCAAGTATCGTTTGTTTTAAGCGAAAGTTCGTTTTAAGTGCCCAGGTAACAAAGTGCCCAGGTAGCTTTAGCCAGAGTTTATAAATATGCCGACACGCAAATTTGCATGTTGCTCACTGTTGCATGGAGTAAGGCTATTTTTTGTCTTCTAAAATATTGTTTAGTTAGATCTGTTTATAACTAACTTTTGAAGTAATAAAGATGGATAAAAAAAATTCAATGAGAAAGTTGCAGATCGGTTTGTAAAAGGTTTGATTAGAAAGTTTTGAACTTTATATCTGTTAGGTATTACTGTTTTTCTGCAAACTACAAATGCCGACAAAATACAAAAAAATACCACGTTACAAACCCTCTCGCACGCCAGTGCGCACAATGATTCTAGTGCTCCCTAACGTTCCGCGTACGAAAGGCTATAGCATTTGCCCCATTGTGCTGTCTCGACAGGGTTGCAACGATGGTGGTGGCTTTATGATGAACACATTTTGCTATCCGCCACAAAACGATAATCGCTGTGACTGCTTATTGCTGTCATGAACCGGTGCGAGGGAAGCGTATCGTTCGTATGTGGAACGTTAGGGAGCACTAGAATCATTGTGCGCACTAGGCGCATGAGCGGGTTTGTCACCTATGTTTTCGCTATAAAAAGCAAAAGCTTCATATTTTTCTTCTTGGCATTGCAGGTTCAACGGACCATTGCAAGGCAAATACAAATGGTTGAAATCATTGGAAAAGGACGCTATGGTGAAGTCTGGAAAGCTCATTGGCGGGGAGAATATGTTGCCGTCAAAGTGTTCTTCACAACAGATGAGGCCAGCTGGCTTCGTGAAACTGACATTTACCAGACAATGCTCCTGCGTCATGACAACATCCTTGGTTAGTGCTCATTTATTGTTTTGCTTTTTTGTTTTAAACATTATTTTGGTGAGAATGTTTGCTTTTGTATGTTTTTGTTTGAACCTTTCACTCCCAGCTTGAGCTATACTTATTTGTGCAGATATCTTAAATATGGGTTTTGCTCTATCAAGCTACAGTGCCTTTTACCTTGCACACTGCAAGTTGACTGCAATTATAAGCTCATTGCAGCACCCACAGTTCTGTATGCCTTGTGCATCAGTATATTGTACTTACATTTCTGTCATGAGATTAAGATGGCATTTTAAATACATTCAGTTAAAACATTTTAAACCCTTTTCCAGAACTGGGAACCATCGGTATGTCATGTTAACATAACAGCTATACTGTATACATAATACATTGAAGTCTTCTGTGTTGTTTTTTAGATGAAGAGGAAGATCCCACTCAACAGTGTTCCCAGTTATCTGTAAACAATGAGAATGCGTAAACAAGCGAGACAGTATTACAGTACTGCAGTCCCATTCCTTTTATTTCGATAGCAATTATATGGACACTCTTGGCTGAATTTTACCGCCGGCGTCGGCGGCTCCGTCACTGACCGTATATGTATGTATGTATGTATGTGTGTGTGTGTGTGTGTGTGTGTGTGTGTGTGTGTATATATATATATATATATATATATATATATATATATATATATATATATATATATATGAAAATGCAAGAAAGAAAAATAATCCAGAAAGAGACCCTCTGAAGTGTGAGGGTGAGGTATTAACCACTGAGCCACAAAGGAGCACCTCCTTCAACGTTTGAATGGTAGGCTATTTATATCTACCACTTACCGCTGGTGACAGGCATCTCGGGGCGAACTATCGTGTTTTCAGCATTACCTGTAAGATGGCGCAATGAGCGCGTCCCACCACATTGTCACGACACTGCGGCGCGTGCTCTCATCTCCCACGCGTAATTTGCCCTGTGGAGAGGGATCAGGGTAACAGGGTAACATTTCTATCTGCTTGCCATTCTGTGCGTGACCTTCGAATTTGTTGCTATCACGTTCATTGCTTCGCCTTTGCATCAAAGCTGTGACTTTTTTTTAGTCTTAGGCATTTTACTAATACGTATGACACAAGCTAATATTCTAATGCTACACAACATGCTGCTGTGTTTTTTAGCAAAGTGGCTTTCCCTGCTTGCTCGGACCACACTGTCTGGCAACATTCGCAGTCATCACCTAATGTTTGAGTGCTACTGACACTGGTGTTACTGGCGACATCAATATTTTAAGTACAATAACTTGTATGCACTCTTACAGTGCCATGTTGCTACGAGTCACTAAAGGTAGTTACGGCTCTTATCCAAGTTTAGGAGCTAACGTTAATGTTATGCTGATGGGACACGAGAGAAGGCAGTGGAAACAAAAGCTGAAGTCACCCTAAATTGTCGCCTTTCTATCTGCGAGTGCTGTTCATATTTAAGGCTCATACGTTTTATGGAATGGAGCTTCATGGAGGAAAGTTAGCTGTAGTGAAACATGTGAAATTTTCAAGTTTTTGCGAAAAATGTTCCTAGTCATAGGAAGCCACTTGAGTTAAGCTGAAATTTATTTTATTGTTTTATGAAAGGTAGTCGGGCTGGATTGTGAGTGTGTTATTGTTTGCAGGCTTCATTGCTTCCGACATTAGAGGCACAGGCTCATGGACCCAGATGCTGCTAATCACCAACTACCACGAGCGTGGCTCTCTCCACGATTATTTGTCCACACATGCTTTAGACCCTGAGGATGCTGTGCGATTGGCTCACTCAGCAGCTTGTGGTCTGGCCCACCTGCACATTGAGATCATTGGCAAGCAAGGTAGGAAAGAACTTGTTCTATCTGTACAACCCTTCTCCTCATTTTTGTTCTTATAACCAGCCAATAGCCCCTTCCGAAGCTTAGTATGCTTTTCTGCATGGCACTAGAGGACTGTGGAGAAAGCAACTTGAACAATTCGCACTCGATAGATCAAGGCCAGAAAATTTTAGAACTGCTGTCCTTTGTTGTTATTTGATTACCGCGATGATGATACAGATGTCTTTTGGGAGATTTATGGGCGTGCCCGCACAGTTGGTTAGTTGGCTCATAATTCAGGAGACTGCCATGCAAATTGGAGAGCTGGTAGGTGTACGTGTCCTAAACATTCGAGCATGTGCCGTTGCAAGGCCTAGTTTCTTTGCCAAGACCATGCGCTTGTTCTTTCTGTTCTCGTCCACTTTCATAGGATGTCTGATTTCAAGAACATGGCTTGCATCAATGTGACAGGCCAGTGTAAACACTATGCTGCCTGCCTTGAGCACAGCAGCACATATGCTGCTGTGCTCAAGTAAAAAAAGAAAAGCGCGACATCAACACCATCTCTAATTTGAATTCGAAGGCACAGAAATGCACGTGAAAGCCTTTAAGGTTTGCGTGCACAATCTCCGAGTCTACGATGCGTGTTCACACTGGGGTTGCCCCGTTGGCACGTAACTGCCAGGTCTTCCACGACAGGTAGCGCCTGTTCGCACCTGCATGGTAGTGTACATTCGTATGAACCGTCAGGGGGTGAAAATTGTTTCATAACAATGTTTCTTCATTACATTGCAAGCTAACGGGCCTGCGCCGGGACCACAAAACAATTCATATCACCCCGAAATTCGTCCAAGTCATGATCATATCACTGAGCTTCTACTGTAATTTAGGTTTTACTGATAGATTAACCCTTCATGCCTAAAACATCAATGTGATAGTCAACAATGCTTTAGTAATCAGCATGTGAATGTAGAACATGAAATGCGATACCAGTGGGACACTGTAGTACTAGCACCTTCTCAGTATAATTTCATCACTAGTCGCCAACCACCTGTAATAGAAATATCTGTGCAGGGAATTCTGAAATGGCATAAAGTGCCATCTGAAAATTAAAATTTTCTACTATGGACTCGTAAAGTATGGTTTTACTTGTTGATTTGGGGATGCTTTATAGTTTAGTGAAATACTGCCAAACGAATGAGTGTCATATTTTGCTTTTCCTGCTTTTGCATAATTTGACCCACTTGATAAATATAACAAGTTATGTGAGTCCCTTCGTCCCTTGTAGTATTTGCAGTTTCTAATGTATGAGTCTAGGGTGGGTACACGTCAATGAAACCCTGCTTACGAAACCCGTGCTTTTAAGCCACTACTCAGTGATGGCTTGCATCTCTCCCTCGTTTAACCTGCCTTTCTGACACCTTGTCGTATCATTGATTCATTTTCCCACCTGTCAGTCCTCATTCTCCCAACCTGCTGCAGTAGTCTGATGGTTGTATTGCTTGGCTGTTGACCCGTAGGTTGTTAGATTGTATCCTAGCCAAGGCGGCTGCATACACACTGGAGGCAAAAATGCTTGAGGCCCATGTAGAATCTCAATGATACGAATTCGAAGGGAGCATGCAAAATATTCTTATCATTCTGAATTAGTATGAACCAAAAGCAAAGCTGATCATCAAGATGAACAAGAACTTTATTGGGCTCAACTGCTTCTTGCTGCAAAAAAAGTCTATGATGTTCTTTTGAGCTTTCCTGCTTTCACCGCCTTTCAATTAAGTGTCGCGGTTTCCTAATTGATGCTGCTGGTGCTGTCAGGCGCATTCACACTTGGCATAAAAGGGAGCGAAAGCGGCAAAACTTATTGAAAATTCACTCACTTCGCTGCTCAAGCGACCGGAAAAACGCGCCGCGAAGTCTACACGAAAAAACATACCACCGCTGCCATCTTTGCTGCTTGAGAATTTATTCCTGAGCAATAAAGTCCCTATTCAGTTCTAGTTATGCACGCAAAGCACTGAAAAGAAACTGTACAAATGTTGTTTTGGGAGATTTGTCTGAAGAAACGACACGAGCAGACGCACCGGCGGTGGCGGATTCAGTCGGCAGTGCAAAAGCAAGACATGTTAGGGCATGCCGACTCGCTGCTGCTGTGTAATTCAAACTCGTTTCTTGTTGTGCTGCGTCGGTAGTTTGCGATTGCGCCGACAAGAGCCATTGCCGACGCCTTTCCGCCATGTTGAATGTACGGCTGGTTGTTTACATCACATGGTTCGAGAACTAGCCCAGCTGGTGTAGCCAAAGCCGTAGCAGAAAGATGATCCGCTATTGCATAGTGGCAAAATTGGTCTAGGACCAATTTTTTGTGTCCGCCTCGTAGCATGGTTTTCCAGCCACTTTTTCGGCGGCGAAGCGAGGAAAATCCCAGTGACTTTTGCCGCATTCGCCCCCTTCGAGGCCAAGTGTGAACGGGCCTTCCTTCCACAGACAAGCCGCGTTGCGCCACTCGCGTGCAGTGGGCATCCGTGGTGGCTGAGGAAACCATTCGTATAACGCTGAATCGCAGCATATTTTATATAATGTAGTTCATTCGAAGCAAACTTGAAATTCGTATCATAGCGAAATTCGCATGAATCGTAATTGTATTATCGAGATTCTACGGTACTTAGATATAGGTCCATGTTAAAGCCCCAGAGGATTGAAATTTCTGGAGCCGTCCACTGCGGCGTCCCTTGTTATCATGTTGTGGTTTTGGTACAGTAAACACCAAGAATTATTAATCATTGTCATTCTCCCTCTTTCTCTAAACATTTATGTGGGGAAATTGAATCCACCTCCAGCACCTATGCACTTTTTAAGGTGAAAGCATTTAATGTCTCATACTGGCGTCCGGCCATCTCTGATCTTGTTTCTGTGCCCTGGAACAGTGCGAGCTATGGCCTCTCCTCCTCGCACACTCTCAGCAATCACGTAATGGCACAGTGGCACATAGCTGCAGTTGCTCTGCTTCAGCTGTGGCCTCTTCTCCTTACATGCCCTCATCAATTATGTGATTGCAAAGAGTGAAAGAAAAAAAATCAATGAAACAAACAAAAAAAGACATGACATAGTCAGTCGAATGGTCTCAGGCTTTTGCCGAACACACTTTGGTATTTACACAGTGCCCTTCAATTAGGCGGAAATGCCGTAGGCCCGTGTGCTCAGATTTGGGTGGAGAACCCCAGGTCGTCATAATTTCCGGAGCCCTCCTGTACAGTGTCTCTCATAATCAAATGGTGGTTTTGGGACGTTAAACCCCACATATCAGTCAATCAATCACAGTGCCCATCAATTTTTTTTTGCTCCTCTATATCTGTCACACGAGTAGCACACTGAGTGAAACTACACAGCTTCGAGCTCAAAGAACAGCCACTGCCCTTGTGCAGCCAAAGCTTTAAATAAAGTGCTATGTGCGCAAGCCAGATACCAAGAAGTACAGTATTCAGCACTCATGTAATGAACCCACCTTTTTTTTTTTTTTCAGAGAAGTTGACTCCAGTTTGGGGGGAGGGTTCGTTATGCGGGAAAAAGCAGTCACGGGAGTCGTAACAGCGAAAATTTTGCCTGACGGCTTTGCTTGTTTTGGCCTCTGAAACGCGCACCAAATCTTTTTTTGTAGACCGAAGCTCATTTTGTTTCCTCCCATTACCAAAGCATACGTATCGACGCCAAAGTGTCGTCCAGCCGCTTGGTTCCCATGCTCCAGCGCATGCTGCTTGTAACCAGTGGTGTGGCTAGCGTACCGGCCAAACGTGCCCTGCACAGCAGGTTTCTTAACTAAGTTCATAACGACAAACCCAATAACAAAAACACAGCATCGGATAGCGGCGCACAAACTTTGCGGTAGACGTTGTGGAGGCATGAGGTGCCGTCGGCGTAGTGGGTGCGATTGTGCTTTGCATGGCCTCCGAGATGGCCGGCGTGCAGCATGTTTCTATGCCGCGCACTGCGTACTTAGTTTTTTGTTTTGCTTTTGTGCTGCTGTGCCTGCGTGGTGCTATCAGCAAAGAGGTTTCTCCTGCATTCAACAGATAGCGCTTTGTCGCAAAAGGCGTGATTTTCAAATTTTGATTGACGTTGTCCGTGCTCTTGCTGCTCGGAACTGTTTAGCATGGTTGCAAAACTATGCTTTTACTTCAACTGCGTCGTCATTTTGTGATATAATGGCTTGATTTAACGTTTTGATCATCAACGGCACTGGCTATCATGCCGAAATATGATGAACAGGTACTAATGAACAACGCGGTGTCGTCTCTTCCTCTGTCCTTGTCTATATTTTTACGCTGTTTTTACTTCCCAAGTATGAAGAGGTACATTAAAAGTTTTTTTTTGTTTTTCAAGGACCACGGTGCAGGGGTGGGTTCTTTACGGTAAAAAGTTATTCAACACTGCTGACAGTGCTGCTGACATTGGTTTTTGACTCCCATTTGGCACTTTTGTGTATACAAAGCTATTGACTATAAACATGGTGGATACAAGGACATAAAAAAAGTTTTTTTTTTCGTTTTTCAAGGACCAAGGTGGGGGGTGGGTTCATTATGCAAGTGGGTTCATAACACGAGTAAGTGCAGTAAGAAGTTCTTCAATACTGTTGACTGTGCTGCTGACACTGGTGATTGACTCCCATGCACTGCTTCTTTTTATGGCACTTTTGTGTATACAAAGCAATTGACTATAGACATGGTGGATACAAGGACATTAAAAATTTTTTTGTTTTTCGTTTTTCAAGGACCAATGTGGGGGGGTGGGTTCATTATGCGAGTAAATGCAGTAAGAAGTTCTTTAATACTGTTGACTGTGCTGCTGACACTGGTGATTGACTCCCATGCACTGCTTCTTTTTATGGCACTTTTGTGTATACAAAGCAATTGACTATAGAATGGTGGATACAAGGACATAGTGGGTATCTGCTTGCGATTCATATCTTTCACTTCATACTGATACTCAAAAACAGGAGAAGCTTGATGACTCTAGACAGTTCAAATTTATTCACTGATGAAATTGTGAATACAGTAGACTCTTGGTAAATGGAACCTGAAAGGATCAGGAAAATGCGTTTGATTAAACAGGAGTTCTTTTTACTGAGAGATGAGCAGGGGTGCAGAATTCATGTATGAAACCAAGAGTACTAGAGGCAGCTGTTCTGTTTAAGCAGCAGCTTCGTTTAACAGATTTCCATTTACTGAGAGTGCACTGTACGAGCAAATTAAAATCTGAAGCAGTCATTGGCATTTTGCTGTTTCAGCTGATCAATACTCGGAAAAAGTGGCAATTGAATCGTCACCTTTTAATGTAACTGAAGTTTCCCAAAGATTGAGAAAAAAAAAGTAAAACAGAAGAACTGAAAATAATTGAGCATTTATTACAAGAGTGGTCCCAACAGTTGCATCAATGGTGTGGAGTTTTGTGCAGGCTAGAAACTTAATGTGATCAACACTGGTCATATTTAATCCAATTTTTTTTCGCTTTATCTATAAAGCTATCCGTCTGCTTTCGAACACATTGTTATGTCAACAAAAATTCTACTTGAAAGGCTGCCTTTTGTCTGAGAAATTTACGATAGAAACTTGAAAGTCCTTGAAAACCCTTGAATGCGGGCTATTGAAACCTGTATCTAGAAACTAGTGCCATTTGAAACCGCACTGCATCGTGCTGAATGTGTCTTATACACAGGGTTCGTACAGAATTACATTGAAGAACAGCTATTTGGGACGTTGGTTGAACTCCGTGGTAATAGGGGGGGGGGGGGTTGCAGCGCAAGCATGGAAGTGCTGCAAGAAAAGCGTACAGAAGGCTAGGAACGGTAGGCAAGGAGGTACAACACAAGCACTCGTGTTGTCTTTGTTTGACTTCTGTTTGCTTTTCTTCCAGCACTTTTATGCTTTCGCTGCAACCCCCCCTATTATCATGGAGTTCAACCAACATCCCAAACAGCTGTTCTTCAATGTAATTGTGTACGAACCCTGTGTATAATACACATTCAGCACGATGCAGTGCGGTTTCATATGGCACTAGTTACAAAATGTTGTACTCATGCACTTAACAGTCCTAAGCTCCCACAAAAAAACACTTTTCACTTTTAGGATCTGAAAATTTTAGCAATACCTGGAACTAACCCCCTTTTTAAGTGTATAAAAAGGATATTTATTGGGCTTCATTATTCATTGAGACCCACACCCTTAGTAAACATAAGGAAAAGTTCTAAAATTCTAATCATTGTGTGGCATTTAATATTTTCTTGAATTTTTTTTGTTTAGTTCTTTCTTGATTCCGTTTGAAATTCAATTTGGGAACTATACCCCAATCTAATTATAACAAAGTTGCATCTGACATGAAAATAAATTCGTAATATCCGAAAAATTGCTATAAGAATATATTCTTAGCACTATCAATTGCAAAACTATTTTTAATTTACTTTGTTATAACCGATATTTCATTATAACCGGGTTTGTTATATCGAGATATGAGTGTACTGTTTTCTGTATTTTGTAATATTGTAAAGCATGGGAATCTTTTTTTTTTTGCATAGCATATTTCAAATGTGTCATATATATTGAACCTTTAAGATGAAACGGTGCATCATTTAATGTCTTGCAGGAAAGCCTGCGATTGCTCATCGCGATATCAAGAGCAAGAACATCTTGGTCAAGAAGGATGGCACTTGTGCCATTGCAGACTTTGGCTTGGCAGTAAGGTTCAGCAGGTATGTAAAAATTTGCCGTTGCATTGAGTTTCATCGATGTCACATACAGTGTAGACTACTTATAACATAATTGCTTATAGTGTAGAAATAGTTACAATGCTTGAAAGTTTGGAAAGTACTCCACGCATTGTGGCATACCAAATTTTGCACAATGAATTGCTTTTTCCAAAAAATATATGCTGTAGAGCAACAAAAATATTTTGGAATGAATAAAAATGTGAAAAGTGTCTAATTTTTGGTTGCCAGCTGGTAAACAGTGCAGTAAAAAACAAATATATATGCAAAAATATTCAAAACGAAAAAAAATTGAGAATACGTTTGGAACAGTATGAAAATAATAAATGTTGTACAAAGTGCTTCTATTCATTTAGACAAAGGAACTATGAACTGCGGCGCTGCTTGATTGCTCGTGCAATGCGGTGAAGCATTGGTTGGATTTTCGTGGAACACAAATGAACTCGTACACTTTTTTCAGTATTTTTTTCTTGTGTTTCAATATAGATGGATCCCCATGATCTGATTTATCTCCCTAAAAAATCAGGTGTCCAATGAACTTCTCTATTTCATCTAGCGTCACCTCTTTCCATGAGGCACCGCACTCCACATAGGTTGGCATTTAAATATATGCATCAAAGCAAATTTGTTTGCATATTTGTACATCGTATGAAAAAAATGGACAATATTGCGTGCAGTTTCGGGGTGCTCCATAGTCAGGGCCAAGGTGTGCTCCGGTGGCCTTTTTGTAGTTATGAGAAGCTCTGCAGCCAGTGCCAGCACACCACGTTTCAGCGACGTGTGGACCTCGAATGTAACCAGAGTAGCTATAAGATTGTGCGCAAAGGTCAGCAGCTACGCAGTTGCGGTGGGGGCAACAACTTGAGGCCGTAAACAAAACAAATACATGAACAGCTGCAGATGCCTCAGGTTGATGCAAAACATTGTCACAAAACTTGAAGCTGGTGTGCTGTCATCCTCGGACTCTAAGCTCTTTCTCTGAATTCAGGTGCGGTTTCTAGACAGTTTCAAGCGGCACATGTTTTTTGCAGCGCAGGTGTGCACTCGTATGCACGTGACGCAAACGCCATAGGAGCGACTAGTGACAGTAGATGTGGGCCTGTGTCTGACATTACGATACGAGCGATGCCAAAGCTGCTGGAAACTGACCGAGAAGGTCAGCTTCACACGTTATACATGCGGCAAACTTTGGAAGTATTTTTTGTAAAATAAAGTTTCCCGATCTCCTAGCAACAGCTCTCTATTGAAGAGCTGGCATGAATTTCTGGCATTTATTACTGCTTAACACTGTTGGATTGCAAAGCTGACACCTTAATTTGATATTTGACTTGCAAAGGTTCTTTTGATTACAGAACTCCGATGGTACTATAGCATAACCACGAGGGGCATGCGCTTCTGTCTCTGGGATACGGAGCATAGTACAGTGACAGAACAGACAAAATCGGCTGTTTGTGACACAGTTGTTCCGCGGTTTGCTTCTAAGCAAAAACTGATGCAGTTTGTTTAAAATGCAGTATGGTCGCAAAGAGCCAAATCGTCTCCTGAATGGCTAGTTGCGTGCAGCGTTTTGCTTACTCTGTGAACACCGTGACTGCCGATTCGCTTGGTGTAGAGTACCCCCACTCTGCTTCAGGCCTCACCATGCGCAGATGTGGCGAGCAGCCTGCTGGGTTAACGCGATGACAACGAGCTTTTTGCTACCAATACGCTCTCCGCGATGCTCCAGTAGTTCTGGTAGTGGACGGAGGCGCGTTTGGGTGGTCGCTGAATGAAAGTGTGCAGCATGGTTGCAACAGATCTACACTTGCTGTACGGTGCGCATGTTGGCATAATACAGCAAGGTTTTTCGGTGCCCACGGTGCGCGCTTGAACACTGTCCCGCACAACGAAGCGGCAGCGAACGGAGGCCCAGCACGTTCAGTAGTCGCCTACTAAAAGGGTGCAGTAGGCTTGAAGTGATGCGACGCCACACGCGTGCCCTGGCAGGCAACTAAGGATGCTTACTGTGATGAGGCTTTTCGGGGCAATAAGTCATACTGGCGCGTTTGTCGGTGGTCGCCGTCTCACCTTCATTTTTTTCTATGATTACTTGTAAAGTCATCTCCACAATTATGCAGAATTCAGAATACTAACTGATCGGCTGATCTCCACACTCATCAACATGACGGAAAACCGTTCATTGCACATTGTGGTGTTAGCAAGTTCTGCCGCGCAGTAAAATTTTCTGGCGCAAAATATTGTTGCAATACGCTGTTAGTACGCACTAACTGGTAGGCATAAGCCGAACACCATGGCTTATGCGGTCTGTGAATGCATTAGTCTTTATGAGAATCCGTTGGGGATTTGTCTCAACTACGTTTTAACCGGTAGTACGCTTCAAGCGGGTGCATACTAACGAGGTTTGACGATACGATACCTTGTACAAGCTTTGATATTTATGCAAAGGCTAAACATAGTTCAAGCTATAAATGATGATTAGTGGAGTTTTGTGGCACAAGAGCCATTGGTGGCCAGTTCTATCTAAAAAGCACAACTTTCTAGGAAAGTTGTGCATAAATCGGTGAGAGCAAGATAATGTGGTTAGTTCTATCTCAAGTTGTCTTGCTGAAGTTGGCGTAACAGAGTATGATGATGTGGTTTCTGTGCAGTGAGGCCAACGAGTTGGACATCGCCGTGAACCCTCGAGTAGGCACAAAGCGCTACATGGCACCAGAGGTGCTTGATGAGACTCTTGTCCCGAATCGTTTCGATTCATACCGGATGGCAGACATGTATTCCTTTGGCCTGGTGCTTTGGGAGATTGCCTTGCGATGCGTGGAGGATGGTAAGTTGCACCATGAAGTTTTCCTTACATTTACATTGCTATAATATGGGAGGTTGGTTCTGCTGGTTCAACTTGCTTAGTATTTGCATAGGATTGCTCTCTTGAACTTCTTTTGGAAACCAGTTTTCTAAAGATTGTATTATGTTGTGCATGTTTAGGTGCAGTGGAGGAATACTGCATTCCCTACCATGATGTGGTTCCCTCTGACCCAAGCTTTGAGGACATGCGCAAAGTGGTATGTGTGGACTACGCAAGGCCAAAGATACCCAAGCGCTGGAGCTCAAATGGCTCAGTGAGTTCTTTTTTTACTTTTTATGTAAAGTGTATGAAAGAAAGTAAACCCATTTTTTGTGATGCCCTAAGAACCATGAGCTTCTTAGCAGTCTGGAAAAAAATGCTTGCTGAAACTTTACCTTTTATTGTTCATTATCGTTCTCAGGGCAACGCCTCCTTTGTTTCTCAATGCCAGTGCAAACACTTACTTATCAACGGGAGTCGTCGATCCACCTTAGTTCAGGGAGTGGCCGTGATGCGGCGCTATATGAGGAGTCGCTTTGCTCGTGTCACATATGCGTCCGAGCACTTTCCCTTGAAGAAAAGATAGACGTGTTTTCCACTCTAATATCATATGTCTGTCATATTTGTTCCTTCGGGCTTCTTTTTGGGGGCTTGAAACAATGCCGCCGCTGCATCACAGCACTCTTTAAGTCGGTGATTGCATTAAAGTCGGCGATTGCAGTTGCGTTGCGGTGATGCTTCCCTGTTAGTTGCCCACATAGCGCCACGAATGACGACACGATATCTCAAAACACCGTATCTTTTACAAAGCCAGCGTGACAGCCAACATTGTGAATATGAGGAACGCACAACGCTGCTCCACGGATCTGTACACAACTGAAGGAAAAAATTACTTCATATGATTTTGGATAATGGGCTCTCTCTCCCATGACCGCAAAGCACTCACGAAGACTAGGCTATGGGCGAGAGCAGGAATGGCTAGAAGAGAGGGTGGTGAACAGCTGGATCAGGTGCATATTGGCAGGCGCTGCTCAGGGGGTAAAATATGCAGTCACGGACTTTCACAACTCTGCCTATTCATTGGCACGGTCTCTAATAGGACAAAGTCCCAACCAAAAAGGCATCTAATTAGCAGTAACAACTACATCTTTAAAAACAAACCACGAGAATCTGAGGCATCTATGTAGTGGGTCCGTGCTAATAATTTAGTGGGCTGGCCCAAAAACACCCAGTGGTGGAACAGCTGCGCCATTGTGTGCCTAACTTGTTTATCTGCGCAATCCTGTGCTGAACCACCCCTGCTGCGCTCCTTTCGTAGCACCGTAATTTAGCCCCAAGGTGGGACAGCCGTCAAGCCCCGTGCCCGAAAAGTTGGCTGAAATATTGTGTTTTCCGTTTCATCAAAACGGTTATAGTTTCTGTTTTGTCAAGGCTGTGATCGCTTGAGCTGCAGCTGTGAACTTTTAGTTATAAGCGGCACACATCAGGACAAATGCCTCATAAATCTTTTTGCGCTGCGCTCTCAATGCGAAGGGACTGTGCAAAAGAGCATGTCTGCCTGGAGCAGCCATATTCTTTTACAGCAGTGTTTTGTAGAGTTACATGATATAGCATCTAAAAGAGTTAGCTGCCAGCTATGCTTCGTATATATTACAATATGTTGTTATCGCAATCATTGCTTTGTAGTTGCGTTGAGTGAAACTGCAATTTTTTTATTACTTGGTGACAGCATTCAGAAAAGGAAGGAAATATAATACATTAACGGTGCTTAAGATGAGTGAATCTGGTGTCTGGTTTTCACAACAGGCAAGCAAAAACAGGTGCATGTGTTTGCTCGCTCATTTCGCCGCTGTGTTCTATTTACGGTGCTTATCGACTGTGTGGTTGACGTTTGTGTGTTCAGTTAAAAAAAGGGGAGGGGGGGGGGCTTAAAAAGCTAAAAAGTCAGTTTCACCAGGGCGAAGGGGCAGCAAGAAATTGTAATGTTATACGAAGTGAGGCTGGCCCTAACATATTGGGATCCAATCTGACGTAACTCTTACATAACACTGGTATAATAATAATAATAATAATAATAATAATAATAATAATAATAATAATAATAATAATAATAATAATAATAATAATAATAATAATAATAATAATAATAATAATAAGCAGAAGGAGGAGGAGGAGGATTGTTGGGGTTTATCATAGGGTTCCTCACAAAAATACCTAGAGGGAAGTGTGGCATCACCGTCTCTGCGAATTTTCGCCCCGCCGCAGTGGTCTAGTGGCTAAGGCACTCGGCTGCTGACCCGCAGGTTGCGGGATCGAATCCCGGCTGCGGCGACTGTATTTTCGATGGAGGCGAAAATGCTGTGGGCTTGCGTGCTCAGATTTGGGTGCACGTTAAAAAACCCCAGGTGGTCGAAGTTTTCAGAGTCGTCCACTACGCTGTCTCTCATAATCATACGGTGGTTTTGTGACGTCAAACCCCACATATCAATCTATGTGAATTTCTCAAGGGGCCCTGCCCCGTTGAAGCGCTGGGAATGATGGTATGCGTTTGCGAGGCTTGTGTTAGCTGGTGTTTAGCGAGGCTCTGGCTCAAAAGGAAATATGACTGTGTAAATAAAGGTTCTATAAAACAAAAGGTTTATAAATGGATCTCATCTACATGTATTATATTCTAAAATAAAAGTCCACTCACCTTGACGGCACTACCAAACGGCGAAAGAAACAGATGACCTAAAGTGGCAGAGGGATGTGTGTTGCCTTTCCCCTATCTTTAGGCTCTTTAAATGAATAATACAGAACCGCAGTTTTAATATTTTTATTTCTACTATGCTTGAACCTACAAGGGTCATAACCAGGACTTTATTTCAAGGTTGTTTGAATGCTACCACGCCCTGCCCCAGAAATCCTTCCTTCCCATTGCTAGGCAATGCCTGTTGAAGCTAATAAAAGAGTGCTGGCACGAGAGACGTGACATCAAGCCCTTGTTTTTTCTTTCTTATCTGTTTATTCATTGTGAACACTTCGATTGCTGTTTGTATTATTTTATAGTTTTGTAATTGTTCTGCCAAGTACTGTTATGAAAGCGTGTTTTTACTTTTTCAAAAATTTCGCACTGCTTTAAAAGCCCGTTTGACTGTTCTGAAATGCCCTGGGTCGTTAGCACTACTGAAATAGTTATCTTATGGGAATTAAAACACCAGCAGTGTATAGGGTTGTCAGTCACAGTACGCGTTGAATGGAACTAATCAAGCACGCTCAATAATTTAGTTATGCACATTGGACAATCAGTTATTGTAACTTATCATATATTAGTACTTTCGTGTCAACACAGCTCCTAGTGCATGCACAAGTCATCCTATATAGGCGTAAATTGCTGTAGCAGGTTTTATAGGACATTGTAGTTAAGCATCCTACCTTGAGCAAACTGCTACTGGTAGATTAAGCACATTGCTTGGTTATGTTAGCATGAACAAGTGTATTAAGTTTTTTCTCCTGCTTTGAGTCCTCTTTGTGTTACGTTCATGCAAGTGTGATGTTTATTGTTTTTTTCCCGCATGTCAGGAGCTAATTGACGATGATGTTGCGATTCCCATTTTCCACAGATAACACAATGCCTGTCGAAGCTAATGCAAGAGTGCTGGCACCAAAGACCTGGCGTCAGGCTAACAGCCCTGCGCGTTAAGAAGTCGCTGGCTAGGCTGGTCGTCGATTCCAGCTACACTGGGGTGAAGATGGTGTGACACCACAGCATATTGTTTTGCTAGATTCTGGCCTGGTAGCATGGTTCAACAGCAGGCCCTGCAGATTATGCTACCACTACTGTTAGCTGAAAAGGCATGTACCCCTGTCTCATGGATATCAGCAGCCTCCTTTGAACTTCATAATTTATAACTTGATAAGGAATTTTCTCAGTGATGCTTCAAGGCACTTCATGGGTTCAGGAAAGAAGCTACAAGGTGTCCGTTTCGCACTCCTATGCCTACATCCACGTGCAAAATCTTGCCCCTAATCATAGTGAAGGTGCTATGCAGTGTGCATATATTTTTTTTTAGAGAAAGCAGCAATTTATTGCTGTCAAAGGAGGGCAGTTTTTTTTTTCTTCTGTTATAGTAACATATACTTGTGAGCATGTTGACAGCTTCGTTGACAGTGATGATGGCAACACTGCAGTTTATATCTGGTCTGAATTGGTTACTTGCATTTATATCTGGTCTAGATAACTACTTGCATTGTTTAAGGAAAGAGAGACACACTGTAATTTGTCATTGCCTGTGAAATTTTTTCGAAATCATGCTATCATCTCCAGCATGTTTTCCTTGCACAGTTGAATACATTCGGTCCATTAGCTCTTGTAGCAGGGCAGTGCCACTACAGTTCACTTGGGCTGTTAGTGGCTGAGACAACAGAGCATCTTACTCACTGCTGTGGCTTCCTTTAACACTGGAAGTACTCAAATGCTCAGAATGAAAAGCACTACGATGAGAATAGACAAAGATGAAGAAATGGGATCATGGCGCCAATGCTGGCATGCACAAAGTTTCCTATCCAAAGTGACAGCACGGTAGTATATCTTGAGGTGTAGTGTGGAGTGTAGGTGCCCCAATGCTCATAAATAGTTTTTAGGAATGCATTATGAGTAAATTGGGCAATGAAATAACCCTAATGTTGAAATGTATTGTTGTTCTGACTACAGAGATATTGTTTTGTAATTTTTTTCACAACTACAGCAATGTCGGCATTAGACTACTCCTTTTACTATTGAGAAAGATTGCCAGATTCCTGTCATAGAGTGCTCTATTCCTTAGCAAAAAGGCATCTGTGTGGCACGGAGCACATATGTCTTAATGTAAAGCCAAAGAAGTTGAAGGGATTTCAAGGGTGCCTATGCGATAGGAGCATCATACTTGGTTGCATTGAGATGTCTGTAGTTACACTGCTGCATCCAAGAGGCCTAATATTGCTGTGGCCAGCAAATCAGCCATTCGTAGTTCTTCATGAAAGCAATTTATGTTGACACAGCCCAGTGAACATCACCTGCAGTACCTGCCCATAGGAAGTAATGCAGTTTTGTTGTCACTTTGTTTGGTCAGTGTGGTTACATGTGTGGAATTAAGTGAGCTGCAGTGATGGAGCTGAATTGAATTAACTGTGGTTCCGCGGTTGTGACCATGCATCAGTGACTCAGCATCGATTTTTTTTTAACACCCCAGTTACTGAAGTATTTTAGTGCTTTTTCGCTCATACCGGTGCTGAAACCAGCTCCTACAGGCAGCTTCACCTTACTCTGATTGTTCTATTATATGCAAGCTCCTTTGTAGAAGTAAATGTGTAGGGGCATATTGACATTGGTTGCTGTTAAGGGCTGACTTTTTATGGTTTGAGCTTTGTTTCTGTATGTGCCATTTTGTACAAATTTCGTTTTTTGCTTAGCGCTGTTCTAGCTGCATTTTTTTTCTTATTCAATTTTTTTAAATTGTAAAATCGCACTCAGATGGTTGATTGTTACTACTCCAGTTTTTATTTTGTTCTGTGTGTACATGTTGTCAGCTTTTTAAAAGTTTGCTGAGTTGTAAAGGTCACAACAGTCATTATATGGCTTGTAACACTTTAAAGAAAGCGCCACAAGCTAAATGCACAGTGAAAAAAAAAAAAATTGATTGTGATTGTACACAGCCAGTACATATTGTATGGCTTTTATTTTTTCTTCTGCACAACTTCTGCGCACCAGCTCACATTTGCTTTATCATACTTTTTGAAGAGCATAACTACTGCAAAGTAATGCATCAGCATGTTAGCACAGTTTGTGAAGCATAATTAGTGTTTATTATATATGTATTATAGATCTGCCCTAGGGTTGAAAAAAAGTCTATGCATGTAAGAGCATTCACTACAGAATATAAAAGCCTGGTATATAATAATTGAATTTCATTGTTTAGTTTTTGTAGTGCTTGCTTTTACAATTGTAAACATTTTCTATTTTTTAAGTGTCTGTGAACAAATTTCAGTTTGTTTCAAGCCTCCCATGTTTTTAGACGATGACAGATAATACTGTGTTCCATGAAAACCGTTGTTGTGCAGTATGTCTGAAAGGTGTTTGAGGATCTTTGCTGTTACCTCACTTGAGAAATATTAGGCTAAATTAGTTATGCATATGAAATATCTTATTTTTGCCATTCCCAACTATGTAACTGCTTACCCCGCAGTCCCTCAGCTTCAAAATTGGTTGTTGTTACCGCTTTAAATTTTTATTAATGGCTAGTATAAATGATAACTGTTGACTCATGGTCAAAAAGAAAAAAATGTTGGCTTATATTCAGTGATGGCAGCAGAAAATGCTTGGAGACTGTGGAGCATAGCTGCATGTAAATCTGTCATTCCACTGACTGATTAAGCACTCTGTAAGTGGCAAGAATTGGCCTTCAAGTGCCTGTAGTCTTTAATGTTTGTAGCCACATTGGTTACTGAATTACTTTTGGCACATGATGTGGTGTGCAGTACCAAGACATGCTGCATCACTGCCTACTATTTAGATCCTCAAAGGGCTGTGTAACATCTCACGTAATCGTCAATTGACCTTCCTGTAAGTCTCAATTGCCCCGTGAATCTCCTGGCAAAAAAAAAGAAAAGAAAAGCCCACTTGCTTGTGTATACTGTGCAGTCGCTGTTTACATCGTCAAGGAGAGAGTAAGCGATTTTTCTTTCCTCGCACAATATTATTACCCTGGTGTGTGCACTGCAGTAATATTTTATTCACATTTGCACAAGCCTTACTACTTATTTACTTCTTTTTTTTCTTTTTTTACTATGTTAAAGGAGTATTGTGGGGCCCCTTTGAACATTCAAGAATGTAAGAATTTGCCTAATTGGTTGATTGAGTTGCTACTACCTCGGTTAAAATAGTTCAAACACAGGAAAGTTTTCCAGCTCTGTAATACGACTGTGCTGGTTTTTCAGTTGCATGAAGTGTTCTTTAGACTTGCTGTCTTTATTGTTTTTTATCGGCTTTATCAAGGTGTCGGCCGTCATACAATGTTCTCATGTCCACGTAACAGAGTACAATCTTTTTGTGTGAATATGTAAATAGTGATGTCTAAAATTTTGTGTTTGTGTGTGTGTGTCCAACTAATGAAATGGAACTTTGGTGTTCTTGTACATAGTTACTTGTCCGAGTATTGTGCCAAAATGTAACAACGTGTATATATGAACTTGTAGATATATGTAATGCTAGAAAACACTAGCTCACCGGCTTTCTAAGTGATGGGTTTGTGGTAAGTGAATGCAAGATATGAATGATTTGAAATTGGGACTTCTGTCATCAGCATGACAGTGACACTCCCCTGCCCCTTCCACTTACTGCTGGCCATTTCTTTTTTTGATAATATATGTAGTTGCATAACTTTTGGGCACTAAATTTCTTGGGGTGTGACTATGTACACTCGTACTTGACTTACTTGACTGAGGCTGCAACACACTGCCTGCAATTGAAGGGTCTCCACAACTGCATGGTGATCTCTACATATGAGAAATTGGTTAAAAAAATTCAGGAACTGAACAGTATTTATTATTATATTATTATTATTTTTTACCCTGCTAGCCTTGCCTTAAGTCTTCGGGATTATTTTACGAAGGGCACTGTATTGCAACGTATTTTGGATGATGTGCAAATTGTAGAGGAAAAAGTCTATATTTTTAGATTGCGAAAAAAACATTTTTGGTGTAGCTGTGCTTGGTAAATAGCTGATGCGTAAATTTGTTGGTGACAGCAACTCCAGTTGACAACTGCTTCTGTCAGATTATGGCGTGGAGGAGTGCAACATACTTACATCACTTCTTTCCACCCCTCCCCCCCCCAAATTGTGTTTCTTTTTAGTTGTACATTCGGTACTTTTATGGCCAATTAGGGTGCCCCCCTTTGTTACATTATGTCGTGAAAGTGGTGGAGTAGCAGGTGTTCTTTGCGTTTTCCTGGTGTGCGTGTCACTGATGGTAAAGAACAGGTAACCACAGAAATAGTCTGCTCGCTCCCACTGTGCCAACAGTTGTGTTGCTCTTAAGCTGTCAATCATGGCTACCAAAAAAAAAGCGTAAATAACATTGACTCTAAGTGTGCATAAGGGTAGTTTAATCTTCTCCATAACAAGATCTGTGTGTCCTTGGAAAATTGTACTTCAATAATAGTGGCCTGTGCCTTTTGATGAATATAGTCCATGTTTTGGTGCTAAAATGCTTCACAAATCAAGGTGCATTGCGTCATTAATAGTCCTTTAACAAGCCAACTGGCCCATTGTTAGCACAGTTTTGAAGACCATTGCTGATGCTATCTTCGCATTGAGCAGTACCTGTACCAACCCACCTGGGGTATTTGCCCCCCCCCCCTCCCCCCCCCCCTTTTTCTTTTTTATTTTAAAGAGGCCTTGGGAGGCTCTGCCTGGTCTCGCAAGACCATGTGGGGCCTTTGATTAGTTGATGCTTCACCTGGCCCATTGATGAACTTAGTGTACTGTAGCTTGTGGTTCATTCATAGTTGCAGATACGTTTTTTTTACTCTTTATCACAATCAACCTATTTTTGTTATACTAATTAATATTGTGTAGCTGCCTGGCACCTGTTTATGTTTATTGCCCATCTTATTTGTACGCTTGTGTTGTTAACCTTCATTTATACATGCATTAAGCTTACTCATCTAACAACCAGGCTTCCTTTTGTCATAGATGTGTTTATTCATATTTTTATCCCATTATGTTTTAGCTACTGCATTTATTACTTCATGGTCTGTGTAAATGATAACAAATATGCTGAAGAAGTCAGATGCCACAAGATAATCATTCTCCATTTTTGGTGGCCAAATTGTTGCTTTGAATGTTTATCTTTTTTTTTTATCTTGTCGGATTTTATTTTGTAGGACCAGGGGAAGCTTTTTCATTTTATCTTTTTTGTTTGTGTGGTGTAATAAAGAAGACGCACTTTAAATTGTTCCACATTGTAGCATGTGATGCCAAAGCTCATTACTTGTGCTTCTGATGTAACCCCTAGATGTAGTTTTGCTAGGAGATCACTCCGCCTTTTTTTCGCTCGGTGATTTCTTCATGCAGGGCTTGTCCTAGCCATGTTTCAGTGCCTATTAGAACACTTGGTGCACTTCACTGCTGCTTGCCTTGTTTTAATATGCCTTGGCATATCTCATTTGGTGATTGGGGATAGCTGACAATCTCTCATTCACAGCCAATCGGGTGTGCTTTTTGTGCCTTGCTGTACTGCTTTTTATATGCAAGCTTTGTGGAGGATTGCAGGACGATTCCTCAGCCTACGCTGCCTTTGGTACACAAGCGGCTTGGAGAGAGATTGTAGCTGTATGCACGCATGTTAGCAACTGTTTTTCAGGATCATTTGGGCTGATTTTAATAGTGCTTTTTGAGTTTGAAGGTAGACGAATTCAGATGTCATAATGATATTTATGTGTGTTTGTTATGCCTGTTGTTTTCTCGTGTGCCATCAAGTATTTTTATTTAGCAGCTTGCGTGACGCACTTCTAAAGCCAAGAATCGCCAAGTACAGTTTTGAAGCTACAAGTTAAAGGGTGCACTAGTTTTCTAGTGTGAAAATGTGAACTTCAAGCGCAGCAATGTAGACTGTAGCACAGTATTTTCAGTTTTTTTTTTATTTATGCTTTGTGCTTCGAGGCTTTGCTAGTGTGTCACATGGGGTTTTATACTGCTTTTAGTTTTGTATGTAATGTGGTCAGTTTGTGGTTCCGAGTTGTATTTTCATCTCCTCACTGGTAAGAAACCTGAAATTTTTGTGTGTTCAAGGTGCTTTGCTTCGATGCATAAAATACCATAAGGCACCCAATAAAAAAAATGAGATGCCCCCATGGCTGTTTTCAAATAACTGCATGACGTGGGAGCTGACAATGTACAGTTACTAGGCAATGATTGGGGATCCATTAGTGTTCTAAGGAATTTTTTTCTTTACAGCCTAACATGCTGTAAGTGCAAATGCTCCCCCAGTGCAATGTATTAAGGCAATTCCTTGCTGTGGAGCTACAGTAGGTCTTTTATATTTTGATGATGCCATGATTCGCAAGCTTTTCCTTGCAGCTGTACATTTGTTTCAGTAACACAGTAAAGCCTGTGATGCATTTAGGATTCAATATTTTCAAGGGAAGCTTGAAGCTTTTTTAAATTCTCTGCACTTTTCTTGCTGACGAAATGATTTGTTTTTCTTTTGATGTAATCTTAGGTGTATTTAGTTTGGTGACCATCTATATTTGTTTTTTAAGATTTTGGCAGTAGGGATACAGCATTGCAAGCTGAGTCAGTACAAGCAGTATGCCTAAGTATAGTGTTGAGCCTGCCTTTATTACAGAAAGCAGTACTCCAGTCATAGCTAATTTATTGTTACAATGAATACTAGCATCCCCTTAAAGCCTTATGGATTTGTGCAAGTGTGTTGTGTACATCTTGTAAAACCTCAAAAAACTAATGTTTATCTGTTGTTACTTTCTTGTGCCATGGTGCCCTTGGGCACAAATATTTTAGTACTGGAATTCAGTTTTCAAGAATTGAATTCTTAATGCAGTGTGAAATTTAATCTATAGTTGGCTATTTTGTTGCGAAGTTTTAGTGTCCAGCATTTTCTCTTTCAAGTCATACAGTTTGGGAGAAATATTGATGAATGGGCTAGCAAAAAGCGCATTTACCATTAACTGTGTGTATTGAGCAAGCCTGCAGTTTCATACCAATGAGGAAATGGAAATGAACTCAAAGTCATCAGTTGGTGCAACATTGATGTAATCTTCTAAGAACAGTAAATGTACGTTTATGCTCATGTGATTTGTACACTTCTTGTTGAAGCACAGCACCTGGACAGCATGAACTTGCTTTATTGGCTTTCGACAACAAAATTACTAGTTAGTACTACACATTTCAAACAGGGAAGCACGCTATTTACATATGACGTTTCAGACATATTTACAGAAAAAACATGGCGAGACCGTACGATGCACATATAGCACCTTCGGAATAGCCAAGAATCTTGCCGCAGCCACCCATAGGTTGGCAAAAACAGAAGAAAAATGCACGGAACCTACATTTTCATCCTTAACACAATGAAAAAACAGCAGCATAATCACATAAAAAAGAGGTTGATGTTTGACAAATGACACACAGAAAAATACCTCTGTGAATCAGATTTTCCTCCAATATGTGATGTTGTATTACACTGTAATTACCATTGAGAGTAATACACCTTGAGGAGCACGTACATGAACCCTGGGAACTTTGTATGAAGCTACTTCTGAAGCAGGTACCCCACTCCCCTGCAAATCTCTCATATGTGTCAAGTCCTCAGCTGCAAAGGTAGGTAAGATTGGCACAATCAGTCAGTGTGGAACATGATTGGAAATCACGGCATCAAAAATCTTAAGAGCTGTAAAGAATACTAGTGGATTATACCATCAAGGTGTCTGGGGACCAGTGCTGCTTTGAGTGAGAGGTACAGTGTATGTCACCCTTCTAATAGTGAACTATTTCATCAATATTTCACATGCAGCGCCACCATCAAGCTTGTCTTGTGCAGTTTTTAGTGGAGATTTAATTGATGGTTAGCAGGCGTCTTTGTGTGCCATCCTATAGATATTGTTATATAAGTCGGTGTGTGACATTTTGTGTTCTTAAATAGGTCATACTTAAACGACTCTATATGAAAGCATCAAACTGCTTTGAGCAAGGTTGCTCATGCAAGGTTTTGAAGGGTACACCAGTGTTTGCTGGCAGTGTTGGTAGGGTGGTGCTGTTATCTTTTGAGTGTGATGTAGACATGGTATGAAGGATTGCAAAGTGCCTTAAGGGCACCCTATCAGATTGGTGTGTCCTTGAAACAAGAGCTAACTACGGGATGAATAATCCTGGGAAAGCTGCAAATGCCAAACACTATAGACACACTACCTTCACTAAATGCAGCTTGTAGGTGCCCTGTGCGATTCAGTCAACCCCATTCTGAATATTTGTTTAGAAGGCGTGCTCAAGCTTTGTCTGATTTCTCATGATTTTTGGATTTCACTGCATTCATGTATTTAGTTGGTACATTTTTTTGTCAAGATGCTTTGTTTCAGTATGTATGAAGAGGTGGGCATACTTGTTAAAGTATTCACTTCATATCTGGAATTGAAACAGGCATAGTGATCCGTAGAACAGCCAGAATTTTTTTTTCTTGGGGAGGGGGGGGGGCAACCATACTTCATGCATGTGCATGCACACATTTGTATGCCTGAATGCACATGTGTACATGCAAAATTGAGAACTTTAGGGAGGCGTTGAATCTTTCTCCCTACCCCTTTGGCCATGCCAATTGTAGTGATCTACCCAGTGGAGATCCTGGACTGGCTCCTTAGCTTTCAAAATGTGTTTCAAAAACTGTGCTAAAACATGCACTGGTATCGCAGTTAACCTCTGGGAACACTTGGAAGGGAACCCCTTTGAAACTGAGCAGGAACGCCGGTGCATTTTGTACTTGTTTTGATACGCTTGTATCAAAAAATGGTACTAGTCTTGGGATTTCAGAGCATGGCATCTATAGAGATGTCAATAAGTGAATCGTTTATCTTGTATCTGTTTGGACGTTGGGATTTACCTTGTAAGCACTGTCCTTCAGAAAACCGTCTGGAATTGACCGATTTGCATTTTGAAAGTGGAAAAAAACTTCGCCGTTAAAGACTATTAATGCGGCGGCGTATGTAAAAGTTCCTTGTTGCCTTTATGTCCGATAAACGAGCGAAGTGTGATGTTAGAGGGCACGTATGAAAACGGTGTTCCGTAGGCTCGCCTCGTTTTCCCGCGCACGTAATGCGTGCATGTGCACCGCGCCCTGGACGCAGCATATGGGCATTTGACAGCGAAAAACCGAACGTCGTACAAGTGCTTGCGCTAATGTTCGGGAATACTGTCGCTTAGCAGCCGGACACTCAAGGGTGCGGCCATTTTGTCTTGTGTTTCAATTCTTTCCGAAGTCTATCAGCGCGGAGCTGCGAATCCCAGCACGGCGAAATATGGGATAGTGTTTGCATCTCGTGATTTCATGAACTTATAGTACAAACGTCAGGTGTCACGTAGCGCCATCACCGTTCAGTTTGACCGAGATGCACGGTTCTGCCACGTGTTGCGTAAGAATCGCTGTTTTGCCGGTTTCTGTGGTTGGCCCATGTCATGGGCGTAGAGAGGACGGGGTTAGGAGGGTTCAGCGCCCCTCTTCCGAAGTTAAATTTTCCTTGCGTACATATACATACATACATACATACATACAAACGCACTCACGAACATACATAAAGTACGGTTGAATCCCCCTGAAAATATCTGGCTACGCCCCTGCCCCACATGTGCCGCAGCTAGTAGCCTACGCAGTTGCGCTTAGCGGTCCCGTCACAATCGACGCTGTCATAGCCGGGCAGAGGACATCTGTCGACAGCCATTCCTCTAGTGGCGTCATGCGTGACGTTTTGCTCGGGTCGAGTGACACGGCCCTGCGAAGCCTTGCAAAGTGGCAGCTGGACCTACCAAGTGCTCGTATCGTGCAACGCACTCAGCAACCGAAGCCTTTGGATTAGAGACGCTGCTGTTTGGACGCAGTTCATTCCATTTTGTTGACTGTTGCTTTTGGATTTAGGTGTCCCTGCGATAGTAGTACCGCCCGAATGCGTGCACGACGTGTACCGGTAAATTCAGTGTACCTGCAGCGGCGCCCAGATCGTCGCTTCCGGCTTGCATTACTCGCCCCTTTCATTCATTCAGCGGCGTTCTTTGCTGCCTCTTCCTGCTTGCGCCGACGTCTCTGCTCAGAATTTCGGGGTAGCGATCCACCGTTTTGACGGACTCCCTTTCTCTTCATATATTCTCGATCGTCTGTTTGTAGGTGCAAGATGTCCAAATGACCGCCTTTTGTTTTATTTTTAACTGGCTACGCTTTCATTTCAATTATATTTTCGTGCTGTGTAACTCTGGTCAACGCACATATGAGGCTTCGTCTGGGCACCGCTTGCGAATCTTGGTATAGTCACGCATTTCCATAGCTGAAGACTGGACCACCCATCGTGGTATGCCTTAACGAAGTGTGTGGAGGAGCATCTTTTGACGTCATTCTTACAGGTATCAAGCCCGACCTGTCAATGCGCTAACAACGTGAACGGAAAGAGGACTCTCAAACTTTTTTTCTGGTGAAACGTACTACTCAAAAAGGGGCAACCGAAACGGGCTAGCAGACGTTCAGTAACGATAAAAATTGGAGGAGTTGGTGATAGTTCATGTTTACTTATGGAGCAGCGCACGGAGACAAGCACAGAAGAAATGAAATAAAAGGTTAATATTGTATATTAACTGTGCTTTTTCTTCGAAACAAAATAGTTGCGAGCGCAGTGGTGTCCTTTTTGTTCCTTTTGTGCTCGTCTCCGTGCGCTACTTCAAAAGTAAACAAGGGCTAGCAGACACATGATGTCTTGACCATACGTAATCGTTGCAGCGCGTGGAATTTTGACGTGGCACCGCGCCCTCTCTCTCTGGAGAGGGTGGGCGCGCAGCTTCCTAGAGTTACTGTATATGCTACCTAAAGGTAGCATATACAGTAACTTTACAGCTTCCCGTAACCCAGCGCCCTCTGTATCTAGAGAGGACGTGACGCCGCGCCAAAAATCCCCGCGTTGAAGCGCTGCGACGGGAGAGTTCATATCATATGATAACGGGAAAGTTCATATCATTGTGCAAGTAAAAATTATTAATGTTACTATTACAAGCTGGTCCCAACAACCTAGTATCCTTCGCTTCGCGGCAGTCACGAGCAGCTTGCTGCAAACAGGAAAACATCGCTGTTTTACCGGTTTCTTATATCCAAAGCGTCCTACGTGGTATGTAAGGTGCGGACGGCTCATGGCCTTTACCTGCACGTTACCTTTGGCACTCTGACACTAGCGAACGAAAGCAGCGCGACTTGTCGCAGAGGATGCGAATAATTTTCTGGACGAATGTACGCAAATAGGCTTTAAGCACTGTGTCCTGTAGAGAATACAACTGATGAGTAATTCCTGAAAAAAGCAGAGCGTGGTAGAAACAACATAGAAGTGTATGTGTCTGCTGATAGTGACTTCGTAGGCATAAGCGTGCGCATGCAGGGTATCCTTCAGAGAGGGGGTATGCAAAGGTTTGTTGCAGCGCCCCCCTCCATATGTCAATGTGTGGGGCTGACTTTGCGGCTCCTCTCCACCCGTACGCACGCCTATGTTTGTAGTAGTAGTACACATCTCCGACACACACGTGGCGAGGCAGAGCTACGAGGACATGTGCATCCCTGTCGCCTAACACTCAAATGTGGTTAAATGGACATGAATGATCCCTGAATGCTCAATGTAAGTTAAGAGATGTTTATGGCTTAAGGAAGAAGGCACATATAGCCCCGGTTATCGGACGCACTGACAAGGCGGATTCGCTAAAGTCACCTAGACCAGCCGCATTACTCGCGCGATAAATGGTAAAATAAAGAGCTCGAATACGCAGTGTCAGCGTGTCGTAAGGCCATCTACAAAAATTTAATCATTCAGCCTCTGGCAGTACCCGGGTGAAATCGTGATGCAGGAGGAAACGGCTTTTAAGCTCCACGATTTCGCCGTTCTGAGTATTGAGGCCGAGCGGTCAAATTTTTTTCGCGATGTTGGAAGAAAAGAAAATCTCTCGTCCATCATTATCATTAGTTCAGGAGCCTATAAGCGAAACCAGATTAGAGCTTTCCTTTTTTGAGCACTGGCAGGTCATAGGGGAGACTTTTAGGGAGCCGTGACGCTGTCTTTTGTTTGATCCACAAGAAAGCAGACAGCAGGCAGGCAATGACAAGGAGGGACAGGAGTACAACAAGAACAGACGCGAATCCTGGCGCAGACATGCATATGATGGAACTTTCGTGCTCCTCTTTTACTAAGGGAGCCGGATGAGTCTCGTTGGAACCCAGGCTGAATGCTAAATCACCAGCAGAGACAACACGAATGACCCTGTTCACGCCAATCTCTGCCATTTCCTCTTCTTCTTCGTGATAGGAAACGTCTCTCTCTTCCCTGGGCCGGCCAGCTGACTGGGAAACGTGGTTTGAGTACAACGCCTGCTTGTCGGATGCCGATGAGTCGACGGACGCCTGTGCCGAGCACTGATCTGGGCACTGATATCGGCAAATCTGTATGGTGCACTGGAAGTGTACTTCCATTGTATCTGGAAACTTGAAGGCTTGGAAATGGGCGTACGACAGCACTGTCGCACTGGAACCGAAGTTTCTGATCTTGGTGAACCGGCTCATGAGTTTTGGTCGCACTACGCAACCTTGGCTGTCAACGAGCTCAATTGGCGCCCTCTGCCCATCGTGCGCGATGCAGTTGCGTACCAGCATGTCGAACTTGTTTTCGTCGTCCTTGATGGCCAACACCATCGTCATGGTCTGGCCAATTTTGACAATGCCGGCTACCTCGCTGGCCCAAGGCCCTTTGCCAGCTTGTATCTGCATCCAGCAGCCTACGTTGTCACCCGCGAAGTCGGCGCGCACAACGTCCAGCATGTCGACCGGGAAAGGCCGAAAAGTAACTGCCTTCTCGTAGTTGTTGTGCCACGTGCATCTCAGCTTACGTGCCTGGTCCCACACTTCCTGCACTTGTGGATCGTACTGTACAATAATTGTGTTCTCGAAAAAGCTTCCTGTTCCAGAATTGCCACCGTCGTAACCGTAGAGTCCATTCTGCGTGTTTCCTATGGTGCCACAACTATTGATCGATACGTCGAAGTAGACGCTTTTGCGGCCTGAGCCCGCCGGCAAGTGGACACAACTGCCATAGCTGTAATGGCCTTTGCTAAAGATTATGCCGTGGAACGGCTTGTCGAACTCTACCACTACCTTCATGAGATTTTTCTCGCATTTGACATCCAGGTGGACGATCTTGGGCATTTCGGGCTGTGGCAATGGCCAAGGCTCCTGGCCTTGTGCCTGCGTCGCCAAGTCCGTTGATTGCTGCGGATGTACGTTGTGGTTCTCTATGTACTGGTGATGCTGCTCCTCAGATGCAGTGCCCCCTCCTCCCCCACCGCCATGATGAACTACTTGAGTCGGTTGATGGTGAACATCAGGATACGCATGGTGATGGTGGTGGCCTTGTTGCGGCTGCTGCTGTTGTTGGTGCTGTTGGTACTGCTGTTCGTGCTGCTGTTGCTGCTGGTATTGTGGTTCATGCTGTTGCTGCGCTGACTGATGTTGGTGCTCGAAAACTGGCTGAGGTGGCTTTTGGAGCTTGTTAGACTCCCACTGTGGTAAGTGGATGGCGCCCTGCTGAAGTCCGTTATTGAATAGCTGCGGTAGGAGAATGTGGCCGCTCTGAATGGGTATTTGGTGTACTGGGATGGGAATAGCGTCAAGCGGGTATCCTTGCTGCTGTGCGTGGTAGTGCTGCGAAGGAAACACCTTGTTTTCGCCCCCGCCGTTGTCCTTAGTTTCCATCTCTGAGGCGTGTTCACTCAGCTCATCCTGGCCGCCGACCTGCTGCTGTTGGTCTGCCGTGCCTTGCTCTGCGTCGCCTGCCAGCACAGCCTGTGAAAAAAAAAAAAATCAGCATTATGATATTAGGATGTTTAACATGGGAACTGTATTCACTGACACCACAATAAATATGTTCGGTGGCATTGACTTTTCACGTTTATGTGAGTCTACTAAAATGATGATGTTCTATTAAAACACTCATTAATCGAGAACGCAGAGGCTTGAAACATCTAAGTTACGTGGCGGCGCATATTGTGGCTTTTCCAAGTGATGTTAGTCAACAAGTGCCATCGACATATATGCACAAGCACATTATGGCTAAGCTTGTACAAAGGTGAACACATGACTAATACAACTAATGCAGTGATCCCTTGATCAGGGCCAATTTTTACAGAACTTTTCGTTCGTGCGGCGCTTCCTGATTACCTATATATACTGTTCAGATACCCGCAGCTCTGGCGCGCTGATCGGCGCGGTTACGACATGACCACCGGGTAAGGGTCCCAAAAGCGCCACTCACGAAGTGGAAGTGTGGTTGATACATGTCCTTACTGCTGTTTTCATGTGACTAATATGTCATAACTCGCATATATGCTATACGACCAGACATGAGTGAACTGTCAGTACCCGTACCCTGGATTTCTCGTGTGAGTCGCACAGACGTGCCGCGACCGCGTCTATGTGGTTAGCCGGGATGCAGAGGGTTCCAGCGCGCGCACACCTAATACTGCGGTGCCCCTCGTTGGCCCGAGCAACAAATTGGCTTGAAGCTCGCGAGACAGCGGTCACCGAATTCTCTTAGGAGCATCCGCACCGGCAAGAGGCGTTTGCGCAAGGGCTCGACCCGCTCGACAAGCTGCTGCTGCTTCAGCGGCGATGCAGGGAATGCGCGGGGCCGCCCGTCAATACAGCAGTTGGCCCGGAGGAGGAGCCCTTGACCCAGAGCTGCGCCGTTGCCGCAGGCTATTGCGCGGGTGCATGTTCCGCCCGATGTTACGAGGCGCCCCGCAGAGCGCGGCATTCCGCCGTGCAGCGCGGCTCCTTTGCTGTTGAAGAACTCTGTACGTCGGGTGCTCGTGTTGCTCCTCTGACATCCTTAAAGTGGAGCAAAGGGTTGTCGATTGGTCGGCCGCTGAGTGCGTTTTGCATGCTGTTGTTCTGTTTGTCGCAAAATAAGTTTTTATTTTTCATCGGCGCGTCCGTCACTACGGCCGGTATGTGCCTGTTTCTTCTAGCGCATGAACAGTGTTGTTGCGAGTCTCAAGTACATGTTTCATGAATGTTGATCGCTAAAGTGGCGGGTACCTTAGGTGCACACGTCAGTGCAATGTCGATGAAATGAGCGTGGAGAGCCGCTGTATAGTACTATGCTGGTCTGTAACATATGGAAAATTTTGAATGGCGGGGGCCCCATGAAACGCGGCCAGGTGGTCTGTCGCATGCAGGCTATAGCTACGCCACCGAGAACTCGGAGGTCAAATAACTCACTACGAATTGAGTGAGGAGAGTTCTAAGAACCGAATGTCAGACATATTTTAAGTAACCATGCAGCATACATAGACCCATATTTCTAAACCAAGGGGAGCAAAGCGGATACTGCCTTTCTGTTTAATGCGAAGCGGTTATATCAATGCACGAGGCACGTTCATGCTTATGGGCCAAAAGCACTGGCATAAATCCCAAAGAGTGAGCGACTGGGAGAGGTAGGGGAAGTACTGATTTACGTAATATTCAGACAGGGCATTTCTTGCCAATGTCCTCCCACCTCCACCGCCTGAAGTTTGTCTTTCAAACATCATATTTGTATTGCTTAATAGTTAAGTATCGCGCACTTCCGTAAAACCAACTATGAAATCTGAAGCCCTTCTATAGAACAGAACCTACGCGGAAAAGGGAACGCTGCTTTTTGTTTCAAAATACACCTTAAAGCGCTAGCTTTATGACATGCTGGCTACTTCTGAAGCGCAGCTTATATTTAATATACGGGGCTTCTTATGCAAATAAAATTTAAAAAAAAATCACGTTTGGGTACAGCACGAAAACGACGAAGATGGAAGACTACAGAAGGGACACATAGAAGCGCTCCCCTCTATATGCTCTTTCCTACTGTACCTTTTCGTGTTGGTCATTCTCGCGCTGTATCTAAAAATGCTACCTTACCAAAAAGCCGAACTTTCAATGCTACTGCAATAAAGAATCTCCCATCATCAGCCTTTATCATTTAAGTCGACGATTTGGTGTAAGCCAGAGCCATTGGCATCGACGTATAAATCCAACTGCTCGGCTGTGATTGTGTTCTATAATAGTGCTCCGAGTTGACTGAAGAATATGGCAAGAATGTCTGAACTGCGAACTATGAGGTCTTTAATGTCACCAGGACATTATAGACCTCATGAAGTTACCAGAGGCGATGAAAAAATTATAACATCTCCCGCTAAAGGGAACCATGTGTAGATGAGAAGCAGCGAGCACTAACGCTTTCATTGGCGGCGGCGTTGACGCTGGCGCTCATCGCGGGTCGCGCTCGAGAGAAAACTGTGGAGGCGCAGAACATGCAGTTACGGACTGGTGTTTCCTACCGGTGGAACGTGCCAATCACTGCTATGGGCAATGAGGGACAGATGTCTCCGACTGGACACAGAGACCCGCAGTCCGCTTTCAGTTCACGCGCACGCTGCAAATTTTTCGTTCAACAACGCACATGAGAAATCTCCCACCGGCACTACCTTGGAGGTTAAGAATGAGCGTCTATATATACGGGATAGCCAGTGAAGCGTTATGCAGCGCAAGCAGTCAGTTTTTTTTTTTTTCAATTAAGAAACTCGCTAGCAGACGCTAGCTGCGTCGGCGTTGCCAGGCGAGAGAGGGAGAGCGTAGGAGAGGAGGAGGAGCGGGCGCACATACGCAGTGGGTGTCTAAACGCCGCAGGAAGGGATGCCTAAGGGAGAAAGAGGGGGGAGCGAGCGTAGACTAGCAGACGCTGCCTGTGTCGGCGTCGCGAGGCGAGAGGGGGGAGAGAGGGGACGCGCAGGTGCAGTAAGGGGTCACGCCGCACAGCGGATTGAGCTCGACTATAAGACGCTTCGCATCTAAAACTTTGTCAGCGCGTTTTGGACCTTTCGTGAACGTGAAAAGTATTAACCCTTGTGCATTCGACTCCATGCTCCTGCTCTCCCTACATGAAACAAATAAAAGCGCATCTAAAATGATAAAGACGGTACGTGGTCTTCCATGTTTTTAATGTCCCATGCCATAATTCCATTAATTTCACGCTGCAATAGAAAGTGCCGAATCGAGAGGATCCTGCAGAAAGCGCACGCACTGCTGCTAACTAGCCACCGACGCCTTGTGTCACTTGCGACGACGCACGATGTTCTTGCACGGCTTGACACCTGCCTTGTTGATGTATTATTTGTTCTGAGCTAGCGCTACGCTGGCATGTGTAAATTCTCCCTGTGACTTAGGTACACCACCGATGCTACTTGCAGCTTTGTCATGGTCGCAGCTTTATGTGCCAGCAAGCGACCAGTATTACGCGTGCTTTCGTGGCTCGGTAGGTTCGGCTAACAACGTTGGCGACTTTCCATGGAGCGTGCTTATAGTCAATGTTACGTAAACATTACCTAGCAATGTCAAAAAGAAACACGTTGCTGAATTAGTTGTCAGAAATAGCTCTATAGAAACCCCATGCAGTCATTTAAATCCGTAGATTCGCTGGATAATCACGTGTTTACAAGCGAGTCGCTTTGTGTAACATGTGATGTTACGCATGATTATCCGGAGTTGGTGCGCACCCAGGTATCATATACTTACACCGACGAGAAGCAGTAGGTATCCCAACCGAAGAAAGATCATGGTGGCCTGCACGGTGGCGCTTGGCGACCACGTCGCGGATGGGGAACGTAAGTGGTCGAAACGTCGGGTTTCTCGGAGGCGCCCCTCCTGCTGCGGCTGATGCTGATCCTGCGAAAATGCCAAAAAGAAAGGGGTGAGCTTACGGAAACCACAAGAAGGAAAACGTCTATACGACTGCCCCTCATTGTAAACTGTCGCAAACTATTTTGCCGGATTCTGCTAGAAATTGTAATGCCATTGTATACTCTCAACTGTAGGCGGGCGAACGGGGGGAGGGGGCAGGGGGGGGGCGCAAAGCCAACTCCGTACATTGACATTACCTGCAGGGAGGAATTCGCTGCGACGAACCTCCCCCCCCCCCCCCCCCCAGAAGGGGAATCTTGCGCACGCTTATGCTCTAAACTGATGTCTTGCTTGGGTCTTTGCCACCTTTCAAACGCGTGGTGGGCATTCATGCCGACCCAACATGAAAGCGGTCCGCCCATCTCTCTGTCACTTAAGACGATCACTGCCATAAAAAAGGAATTGTGCAAGAGGCCGAGTTTAAACTCGGCTGCCTCGCTCTAAAAGTAAGTTTCTTAGCAGTTGGGCCGAGTCACGCTTGCATTATTTGAAGAAATATGAATCGTACGACTGAGTTGTGCCTGCGTTGCTAAACAAATGTAAAAAAGAGAACACACTCAGTGAAGGATTCCTCAAATCAAGCTGGTTCCGTACAAATCCGGTGAGGGGGGGGGGGGGGGGGGGGGAGTTACAGTTTACACACTGGAAAAATTCCAACTTGGCAAAAATCTGATTAGAAATACGTGTTTCGGTGGCCACGCATGTCATGGGGCCGTTCCGCTTAGGAACGCCATAAAGATGAAACGCCATGGCCATGCTGCCGGAAAACAGCGACCAAGGCTGCAGCGTATGATAAAACACCGAGCTTACACATCACTTATACTCATAGATAACTCTCGAAGAAAATGCATGCGTGGATATTTTGTTTCTTGTTATGTTGCGCAGTAAAGAAAAAGAATATAAAATATATACGAACAAGTTACGGAACCATGCCGAGACGCCGTTTCATGAGGCTCTCTGTACGCGCGTGCTGCTGTCGTCCACACCCGGCAACAATAATGACTTAGTGGCAGATTAATTTTACTTTACTTTTTAATTTTTAGACACTGAGATCTGTTCCCAAATCATAGCAGGGTGGTTATAGATAAACAATACAAACAATTTAGCACACATAAATTGCTGGCTTTCATCAAACAATTTTAAGAAATCAAAAGGAGAAAAAGAACAAAAAGAAACACTAGTGACAAATGGATGAAATAACACAAAGAAATTTTTAACATATTCAGATGTTTTTCAAACATGGCTAAAGACTTTTGAGAAACTACATTGGTATTAAGATTATTCCAGTTCGTTATAGTCCGGGGGAAAAAATACTTAAAACAGTTATTCCTTGTGGTAAAGGGAACTATGGTTAAATCATGTCTTTGCCTTGTTTCATAACCTGTCGAGAAAGAAAAATAATGCGATGTGCCATTTACGAACCGACATAAAAATTTTAATCGGCAGACACTGTTGCGCTCCGTCACCGGAGGTAGTCCACTGAGTTTGACTAGCTCGCTCACAGATGTCGGGTCATAGGAATTAAAAATGAATCGAACTACTTTATGCTCTACATATTCTAGTTTTTTAACATTCATTGAAGTGAATGGATCTCAGATAATCGTTGCATATTCAAAAAGAAAAAAAAACGCTCGAGTATATGAATTGTCGGTTAAGAAACGAACGGTAGGTGTGGATGACTTCAAGGTGCGCCTCAAGAAAAACATTTTTGCGCAAAGAACTAGAAACAACAGTATCAATGTGCTTATTTCAAGAGAGACTATTGGTGATCCACAGTCCCAAATATTTGTACTGTGTTACTTCGAATAGCGATACACCGTTGACACCAGAGGTCTTTTTTTTTGTTCGTAATTCTCATATAAACAGTTTTATCAAAATTAATTACCGTTTGCAATTTTGTAGTGATTAAGAGAAACAAAGGAAGGAAGGTGTACTGTATTTTCGTATCGATTATGCTATGGGCAGTTGGGCACTCAGCGCTTTTAACTTTCCGCTGACGGTAGCGCCTCTCACGGCGGCACGCGCGTCCGCTGGGTGATAGCG